TCAATACAATTAGACCAGCGAGGAAGGTCATAGCTACTCTGGAGGGGGCACAGTTCACCTCTGACCTCTTGGTTTATGGGCGCTCCTTACTATTGGTCTGACTCCAGATAACAGCAGTCATGGGAGACAATATCTAATAGGCAAAGGTGTTTTTTTTTATTATGGTAATTGCTGCACTTGCTGAGTTATTGGATCTCTAAAAAATAATGTGATCAGATACATTCATATGTTGTGTACGACTGACCAGCACTAAATACTTATTTTAAATGGGTTTAAGTAATTCAACAAAGGAGGGGGCTGTAGTTGTGCTTTATTAAAGCTGAACTCCGGGATAAGCAAATATTGTCTAAATACAAGAGTCGTGTGTATTCTGACTTGAATCTTGGTGAGCTTCGTGTATTTCTTCCAGATCTGTGCAACAATCCAATGTCAAACTTCACCGCTGTGCAGGAGCTTCCTCTAATAAAGACTGGTCACTGCTGTGCTCTCTCCTAGTGCAGAGTGACTGGTCTTGTATCCACCTCCTCCTGTAGTTTTACAGGCAGCCTGTAGTGGATGGGGGCTGCTGGGTCCCTCCCACAACTCTGCGGTTTGTTCAGCACAGTGATGTCATCATTGCTACTTTGAAAAAGTAATAACTTAAAGTAGATTTATAGCCTTTGTGGCTATTGAGGAATATATTTTAAATGAGAGTTTTGTGCCCGGAGTTCAGGTGTAAACTGCAACTGTTGTCTTAGAACAAAATTGAGGCAGGTAGAGGAGGTATGTTTGTTATATGTTTTGGTATGTAGGTCAGGGGCGTCCTGAGGCCGGGTGTCACCTGGAATGGATACCGGGTGACACCCCGCCATGATGTAATTGCGCATGCGTGGCTATCTTTGTGATACCTGCCTGCGGGCATCTTGCTGATGGACGCCGACAGAGAGAGGAGGGGACGCTCACCCAGCAGGATAAGGTATGCCGCCGGGTCCCCTCCACTCTCCTGCAACTGTCAGGCTCTTGGTCCATGACAGAGTGCCTGAGTTTTCGGGGGGGGGTGACACCAAAATGACTGTCAGTCATGAGGCATACCATCAGGGCCGGATTTGCTCTCCCTGCCCCCCAAGGCCAGATTCCGCAATGCCCCAACCCCCCCATCAACGGAGAATGGAACCGGGTGGCAGGGTTAGTTCTAATTTTTTTTTCTTAATTTTTTCTTACTTTTTTATAATTTTCTATCTTATTGTTGATTTATTTTTCATAATTATTTTCTTATTATTTTTAATATTCTTCTTATTTTTTTACTTTTTATCAATTTTTTTCCACTTAACTTTATTGCTACCACACAGGAGAAAACAATCCCCTATGTGATAGCAATTGGAGGTGACAGGTTTTCTTTATTGACCCTGTCACCTGCAATACAGGAGCTCCAGCACAGTACTGTGTACACGGAGCGACAGGGTTAGTTTTAACCCTGCCGCTCTGCTCACCGCATTGGCGGCAGGGACAGGAGAGAGATTCGGCGGCCGGGGGAGGACGGAGTCCCAAAGACCAGCGGAGAGAGGTAGGTGCGGGGGAGGGGACTGCACACATATTACATCGCCACAATCACTTGTAAACGAACGGCCGGATTCCCCACTTACTGCCCGGAACTACATGTTCCGGGCGTCGGGGGACTGCCGCCCCTCTGCCCCCCTGCTACCCCGAGGCCGGGCCTCGGTGGCCTTGTGGGGAATCCGGGCCTGCATACCATACTTGCATACTCTGATAATGCAAGGTTCCTGGCTCATGATGTGATTTTAGTAATTTATAGGTTATGGACTCAAGCAAGCAGATCAGTTCTGACTCCACTTGCTGCATATTTGTTGCCGGTCAGTGACTAAGCTTTGACGTCATAAGATTGCCATGACTGGAAGGCATTTCTCATTTTTAGAAGATGATCAGCAATAGAAGCTTTGGTATTTGTTATGATAGTTTTCCTTTAAAATGTACTTGTCTACATTAAAGACTCAAAAAAACACCTTAAAATGACTTCGTACTTAACTTAGATGCTATAAATGGCCATCAGAGTGTCCTTAGACATGTCTGCACACCTCCTCACCTATTTTGTACAGTGCTTTGATAGTCCTTGACACCTTACTATGCTATCAACTTCACCTAGAAGTATGGCCTTACCCCTGTTCACCTCTTATGCTTCACTATTCATCCATCAATGGTATGCACAAACTGTGTGACTAATATTGAGGCTACATCACCTCCCGGGTGCTCTACAACCGTGGCTTTTCAACTGGTGTGTCGTGACCCTGTGTTCAGTGGGTCGCTGCGTGCCTTCTACTTTTCTAGGTGAGGCTCCTCCGTCTCTTCCTAGCACAACCACTGTCCGTTCCTGTGCCAAGCAGCATTCAAAATATCAGCTTGAGGTGGGTTGGGGGTATGGCCGTGAGGGAGCTCCATCCATATATGCATTGCTTACAGCTCCCTCACATGTCCTGTAGATGTGCCTGGACCAGAGTGACGTCACATTCTGGCTCCCGAGACCTCATCAGGACATGCAAGGGAGCTGTTCAAGCAACACACATATGGACAGAGCTTAGTCACAGCACAGCAGCCCACAGTGGACCCCAGGTTGAGGATCCACTCCAGTTCTAAATTAGGGATCTCAAAAAAAAGAAAACAAATCAAATTTTTTTTTGGGTATGTGTATGTGTGATTTTGTCTGTGGTTGTTTGTGTATGCAAGTATGTCAGTGTTTTTGAGGGCCCATTCCCACTAGTACAGTGTGTTAATCACACAGTCTCATGCGATTAATGCACTGCACCACGCAATCACACCTACTGTTCATTATGCTGTGGGAGACCGCACCGGAACATGTGCTACCCCAATGCCATGCGTTTCTTTGCAGTGTAACTTGGGTCGCAACTTAATGACCAAGGACAAATGTTACACAGATTGAGAACCGCTGCTCTGGAAGATATACAAGATGATGTAGCACTTAGATGCCAGATTACAGATACATTTCCAGCCCTTTCCCTACACCAGGGGTGGATAAATTAATATGGAACTCAGAGCCAGTCTGACCAATCCAGGAGCCAGATCCATTGACAACTAGAAAAAAACAACCACTCAAACGTTAGGCACCAGCTGTAACTTTTAAGGAGCATTGACTATCCTGGCTCCTTGGATTTGCCCTGCTCTAAACCATCCAAGCCCATAAGAGGACAAAAGCATGACCAAACCATAGAATTGCTTCCAACTCTCCCCATTTCTTTGTATGGAGAGTTTTATATATACACCATTCTCCTAATGTTGTATCTCTCAGATTTGGTTTTGCCAACTCTAGACTGTATTGGTACCAATTCCTCTTGAGAATGTCACCCTTCATGGATAGGCTTTGTTGGTTATTATCAAACAATCCACAAACATTTATCCTTCCTAAATGCCCCATGGCATGCATGTTTTATCAGCAGGTTAAAAGGTTTGTTTTTGTTTTTGTAGTACCCCTCACCATATTAGAGGACATCACTCACAAATGGTATTAAAGATACCATACCATGCTGGAAAAGCTGGCCAGTTTTTTAAACACTACTATATGGCAAAACGTCTCTGTATACATGGCCACCATATCTTCACAGCTAGTCCCATCAACCTTGTGCTCTTGCCATCCTATCAATGTATCCTGCCTCCTCGCTCTGAAATGACTAAAACAGAGAATATGTATGGTGAATACTGGTTTATGGTGTTTAAAAAACAAAAAACCACAGCATCTCTGACATCCATTTCTATGAATTAGTGTGAAGACCGCTGGCTAAACTATGGCCAACCAGATAATGCCATGTAATACCACTGGATAATTTAAAAAAACAAATCCCCACGTTGATTCTTTATTATTTTTTGCTTTAATTTCTGTTCAAGAAATTGCTCCCAAAAAGCTGTCTGGCTGTAAAATGATAATGCAGGCCCTGGTCCGAGGAAGTTATTTAGGAAAACATGCTCAGTCTGCTAAATAATAACTATGTGGCCTGTAAATGTACTTAGCAGGTGGGGGCTTGCTGTGCTGGTGACTGCACTGTTCTAGTTCACAGGGGATTCTGCCCATACTGGCCATTCACAGGTTGTCAACAGGGGAATGTAATGATTTCTAATACAAAGCCTTGGAATTTGTAGGTACTAAATTACATTTCCCAATATAGCAGTGCATGAGAAATGTATTTTAAAAAAAAGTAGAAAAGTATAATTTTATTGGGTTAGAAACACATATTTAGGTTAATGCATTGGAAGTGCTTTCTGTAGACAAAGCAGCGGAAAAAATGTATATAAAGCCAATTTTTTCTTTTCTTTTTTTAGAAGCCCTGTCCAATTTTTATTGTGGCCTATGTTCCCTCTAGGGAAATAGTCTCTCCGTTTGTCCTGGTGACCACTGTAACCGGGACTGAAAACGAGGGGAAATCCAAAATTTTAGTTACTAGTACACAACTGGATTTTAAATGTTTTTAATCAGACTCGTGCAACTTTGAGTTAAAAAATATGGTTAATTCATTCAATCTAAGTATTATTTTAATTGTTTTCTAAGTAAACATGTACAGTATATTATATATAATTGGTTGAATTAAAAAGGAGAACTATGGGGTCAGTGTTTTTCCCCATAGTTCTCCTTAGGGTAACGGGAGGACACAAACTAGCGTCCTCCCGTTACCCTAAGCTCAGCTCGCGGTATACTGAGAGACGCCGGAGCGGATCCCGACGTAGATGACGGGATCCGCCCAGCTGCGTGAGTGACAGCTGGCTCTGCCTATCTAGAGGCAGAGCCAGCTGTACCCGCCCCCTCCCCCGTCCGTTCCGCCAGTCAGCACTGGCAGATCGGAGCGGGGAAGAGGGGAATCCAGCCCCTCCCCCTGTCACGGCTCTCGAGAGGCAAGCGAACCCGGTATGTGTTCGCTCACCTCCCGATCTACTGAGCCGACCTGTGACAGTCTCATTGTCACAGGTCGGCTAGAACTATGAGGTGAGTGAAAAGCACTCACCTCATAGTTCTCCTTTAACTTCTCATTTTGAGAGAAATCTGTGTAGTGGTTCTTTGTGAAGCTGTGTTTGTATACTTGTATCATGCGAGGTCTCAATCATGGATTATGGGATAACGCCATCATTATGACCGTCATCGTTCCCATTGAATTGCACTAGGGTCTAACTATGACATTTATTGCGCTGCTCGAAAGGAAATTGTTTCTATGCTAATATAGATCTTAGAAATGTAAAGAATGGTAGAGGCATTTACATAGCAATGTCAGCCGATTGTTTTTTTTATGCCTATGAGAGAAATTACTGCTGAAATTCGGTTGGTTAAATGAAGCAGCGATTCCACTCTATATGTGCTACCATTGTGATCTGGTCTTCCCCACATTTTCAGTATAGATGGAAATTAAACACTGCTAGATAGGCACATCATAAGTCAATTTGTTGCAAAGCTGTGCAGTTCAAATGCAGTTTATGCCCAAAATTCATAAGCAGAGGTTAGCATTCGTGAAAAATCACATGTGAAAGTAAACCTAGAGATATAGGCAGCTGAATCTAAAAGCAAAAACGTCGCCTCCAATTCCCTTCCCATTTGTCAGTAAGGTCAACCTATTGATCCATTAAAGGTTCAGAAGGCATGTTTAGAAGACATGAGGGGGAGTGCTAAGCTTGACTTTTAGAGTAAGAGTTTTGCCTGCATCTCTGGATTTACTACTTGTATGTATTTTTACATCATATGTTCCGCATGAATTGCCCAGGGTACATACATGTGTACTATAAAGGAAATATGTATTGAGTGAAGTATGGCTGATCTCCACCTGGTTATCTCTGACCTCAGTACCTTGTGAACTAGAGCAAGCATTGCAAAAAGCCAAACTCCTGACCTGCATACTTGTTTGGGATCAGTGGCTCAAAAATATTAAAGCCTTTTGAATCAACATCGCAGCCAGAGAACGAGCATGTTGAGCAGTAAAACTGAGCAATGACACCTTTTGTATATAAAGGCTGCATTCACATGGGGCTTTTATCTGTGTTTAAGGATGCCTGCGGCAAGGACCTACAGATACTTGCAGCAGGAATCCCAGGTGTGCCCGTTCAGATGTGTCCACTGTGCCCATCCAAGTTAAATACATCTGATGGTATGATATCCTGTGGTTCTGGGCGGTCCCTGGATACATCTACAGGTGAAACTCGAATAATTAGAATATCATGCAAAAGTAATTGCAGTAAGTGCTGCAAAAGGGGCCCAGACCAAGTACTGAGTACATATGCATGCTTGTACTTTTCAGAGGTCCGATATTGTTCTATGTACAATCCTTGTTTTATTTATTGCATGTAATAATCTACTTTTTTGAGGTTGTGGATTTGGGGTTCTTGGGGTTTTCATGAGCTGTAAGCCATAATCATCACAATTATGACAAATCACGGCTTGTATTATCTTGCTTTGCATGTAATGAGTCTATCTCATATATTAGTTTTACCTTTTGAGTTGCATTAGTGAAATAAATGAACTTTGCACGATATTCTAATTATTCGAGTTTCACCTGTATCCTGTCCGATTACATGCAGACTGCTGCTGACAGATCCGGCCGCTGTCACCGTATCATTAACTTAAATGGGTACAGTGGCTGCATCTGAATTGGAACACCTGGGAATCCTGCCGCAAGAATTCTAGTTTTAGCTGTTTGGTAGTGAATCTGGGGTACAGCCTATTCAAGGGGCAATCATCTATCCCAAACCACATGTAATTATACCATGTATGATCACATGCAGACTGCCTCCGACAGCTGCCGTCACTCTGTCATTAGCTTGAATGGGTGCAGTGGCTGATTCTTAACAGGCACACCTGGGATTCCTATGGAACCTACGGCCTACTGCAGCAGGAATCCCCAAACGCAGATAAAAGCCCCATGTGAATGCAGCCTGGGAAAGGCTGTACCACAGATCCATGACCAACAGCTGAAACTGGATGCAGAGTTACAACCCTTTTCACATTTTAACATTGACGTGTCCCTGGACACAAGAGAAACATAGAATTAGCATAGACACCATAAGTAGCATTTAATAACATGGAGAAAGCATGTGCTGCCACCCTTTGCAACCAATCACAAAACCGCTTTAACCATTTTAGATAATCTAATACAGGGCTTTAGGGCAAAGAAAAGCCATCACAACTTCCCCATTTAGTTATGCTCAGGTAAAAACTGTCAGTTTTTTTCCATAGATACAGATATTTAAATGGTTTGTTGCCTGTAGAAAACATTCTTTTCTTCCTTTCTGCTTGGAAGCCTTGAAAACCTTCAAGGAGTGGCACTGAAACTCAGTGAATAAGTAAAACTTCAAGCATGATGCTACATAGCAATACACTTGCACTTTTCTAAATAGAGAAGGCCTGCGCAAATTACCTCAGGCCATCATGGAAAAGAAAAGGGATTACTCCAACATATTAGATAAGCATGTGGAGTCTGAACAGCTTCCAATATTGCTGTATAGAATGCTCATCTCTCATCCATATTTACCACAATCACAGACTCTAGTTGTCTTGACCATTCTTGTTCCAGTGATGCCAAATAACTTACTAATGAGCTAGATCTTCAATTATAAATTGGAAGGTTTATAACCATACATTTACAAGGCAGTGAAAGTGACATTTGCCAAATGCTCACTGCGGGTGGATCTTCCTGGTTAATGTATTTTAAATTATATGGAGTGATTCATCTGCAGTAAATGTATTTGGTGAATGTCACATTCATTGCTTTATAAATATATGCCCCTTGGCGTTAGTAATGTGAAAAAGGTGTTTCTTCAAATAATGTAAAATAGGGCCACTGTCTAATATGAGAAGTGTGGGTATTATTTAACCATTTCATGAATTTCCAACTGTTCCATAACCATATTGGTGTGCACCAAGTATGTAAATCCATGTAGAGGAACTTGAGATATTCTAAATATTTCTTCTGTCAAGATCTGAAAAACATGCACTGCATTATTAATCCCTAAAGACTATTTTGAAACATAATGAACAAATTAATTCGGATTGGTTGCGCTCCATCACATGTTATTAAATAAACCCACACATAAACCAAAATGAAAAAAACTCATGGGAAGACTTGATTAGGAGGACACTGAACAGGAGAAAACACAAGGACACACAAAATATGTTTTCAAGCACAAAATGTTTATTCTGTATTATACAATATTGAGGCATTGGTGCCACTGACTGTGTCAGCATACACAAGGAAAGGAGCTTTTTACAATCAGGCAAGAGCAACCTGGAAGGTAAGATTCAGTGCAAGCAATGGGGGAGAGAGTGCAGTACGTACTTCCCATGTTTGTTCATGAAGCACAGACATGAATCTAAAAACAAACTCAAGATGTTGAAGAGAACAGAAATCTCTTCCTATCTTTAAGTTCTCGCCTGCAGAATGGTCCATATAAAATTCAATTCCAACAGAATTGATGAGTTACAGTCAGGGATTACCAACAAAATGAAAACATTTACAATGGTTGAAGGTTCTTGTAGATACATTTCACAGCTTGGCAGAACGAGGCACGGATGCCTCCAGCAGGGGAACCGTGATGTCAAGAAAGAGAAGGATCATCTGGCAAGACACGTCTCACTACCCGTCTAAAAATCTGCAACGGAATTCACTGGTTAGGTGAATAAGGGTTCAACTGTATCCAACAGGTAGGATGCATTACATGGCTGAACACAGAAAGGTCTCAGTATTTAGGGTTGGATTGGTCTAGCGCAGAGGTTCTCAAACTTCCCACCAATGACACAAGTTTTGCAGAATTCCTGACAAGACACAAGGGTAAGATTCACTAACTGGACTAGAGAAAAGTGATTTTACTGTGCTCTGGTGAGGAGATCTGCAATATATGCCCATCTGGTGCAGGTTAGACATTTCAAAAACCTCTTGTTAGTTGTGGTTATGGTGCGGACTCAAAGCTGCAGTCTAGATGGACAGTCACTGTTCTAAAAAAAAAAAAAAAAAAAGTCAGGAGAACTGAATCTAATGTCCTATTATTACAAGTTAAGCATGAGCAAAGCTAGTTCAGCTCAGCCAATGCAGCAATTGCAGAATATATGTAAACATCTGCTCGCCGTGAAGTACTGCTGATGCCAGAGATGTGGGGACTTTGCAAATGTATGCAAGTATATGCAAGTGTTCAAAAGGAACAGCTGTCTTGCTCTATTCGCATACTAAAAACCTAAAACAGGATAAACTAGATAGATGCCATGGAATCAACAGAATTCTTTCAGACACTTTCATACCAGATTAGGAACTAAAGATAGAAAATAAATAAATAAATGTCAACAGACCAAAATAAATAAATCCTATGAGAAAGATACACAAAATAGGTTAAATCCCAGTGCTCTTTGGATTACCAGCCAACCAGATTTAGTTTACAAGGGTAGGTTAGAAAATAAAAATGAAGAATCCAATTGCTTATTGCAGCCAACAGAAAGACTTTCCTCTAAGGTGAACCTCATGTGATAAAGCCGCACAATCTTGCAGCTTAAAAAAAATTGCGGTGAAAGTGAGTCAAATAAAAAAATTAAATAAAAATCGGTAACATGACCAACATTCTTCTTCTGTACGGAAAAATAGTCCGCTTTCTCCACCCTTCATAAAAAAAAAAGAAGAGGTGTGCAAGTATTCTAAGATGTGGCTGTGTGAAAATAAAAGACGTGTGTACTAAATATACCACAATAAATCCAAGATTCTAACATCGCACAACTTAAACAAAAAACAAAAGCCAAAAAAACAGACTCAAACCAGTCATATGACGTGTTTTCTGTGTGAATCGAGTCGTGACAGCACGACCTACCATCTTTAATATCAGAAACATATTTAGAAAGCAGTGAATGTAATATTTACCAAATGTGCACTGCAGGTTAATATTATAGGTGCATTGTTCTAAATTACAGTGAATGATTAGCCACCTGTGAATGTTTGGTAAATGTTGCAGTCACAGCTTACAAATGCGCCCCTAAGACTTTATTTTAATGGTTTAGCTTTGGAATAAACATTTAAGGCAAATCTGTTCTGTTATTTGTACCGACTGAGTGACTTTTTAATGCCACTGGTTATCAATAGTTGTGTTAATAGGATACAATTTCGAAGCACAAAATGGCCACCACCAGTTAAGTCAACAGCCACACAATGCTATTTTGAGATGGCTTCTGTGTGGTACCGATGATCCGGCCAGCTTTGGTTTCTGGTGTTATGGTTTAACATAAAGAAAAATATTTTTTGGAGAACACATCAAGGCTTGAGTGGCACAAATGAATACAATGTCCTAGATCCAGAATACCCCATATTGCAAAAACGTTCAGTGTACAACTGTAGTAACTCTTTCACTGCCCCTGAAAGCTGGACTAGAGGTTCTCAGTCTAAATATGCTTGTTGGTTTTCAAAAATGCTAGTTTGGGATTGTTAACGTCAGTGCCAATTTCTTCATGTGGTTTTTAGGGATTTTGCCCGACCAGACCAGACCACCATTGCAATAAATAAAAAAAAGATAAAAAGAAGAAAAAAAAAAAAAAAAAGGGATTCCCTGACTTCT